CTTCATTCCTTATAACTTTTCTTTTATTCCTTTTATTTCTTCCCCCCTTCTCAACTGTCTTCATTCCTTTTAACTTTTCTTTTCTTTTATTCCTTTTATTTCTTCCCCCTCTTCTCAACTGTCTTCATTCCTTTTAACTTTTCTTTTATTCCTTTTATTTATTCCCCCCTTCTCACTGTCTTCATTCCTTATAACTTTTCTTTTATTCCTTTTATTTCTTCCCCCCTTCTCAACTGTCTTCATTCCTTTTAACTTTTCTTTTCTTTTATTCCTTTTATTTCTTCCCCCCTTCTCAACTGTCTTCATTCCTTTTAACTTTTCTTTTCTTTTATTCCTTTTATTTCTTCCCCCCTTCTCAACTGTCTTCATTCCTTATAACTTTTCTTTTTTTATTCCTTTTATTTCTTCCCCCTCTTCTCCACTGTCTTCATTCCTTTTAACTTTTCTTTTCTTTTATTTCTTTCATTTCTTCCCCCTCTTCTCCACTGTCTTCATTCCTTTTAACTTTTGTAATATGTTTTGTTTAATGTTGTACGCCGCCCTGAGTCCTTTGGGAGAAGGGCGGCATATAAATCCAATAAACAAACAACAAACTTATCCTAATTTCTTCAGTCCATTTTTCTCCAGTCACAGCAAGCAAGCTGACTCTTCCATTCCTTTTTCCCTAAGTCTTCAAACTTGGCAACTTTAAGATTTGTGGACTTCAACTCCCAGAATTCTCCAGCCAGCTATGCTGACTAGAGAATTCTGGGAATTGAAGTCCACAAGTCTTAAAGTTGCCACGTTTGGGGACCCCTGCCCTAAGAAGAGGAGCTTTGAGATGCCTTGGACCCTAAATCCCATCACCCCCTCCCCCTTCTACTACATTAATTAGGGGGTGATGGGAACTGTAGTTCTAGCACACCTTGCCGCAGGGAGCGAGACGCGGGAAGGACATGTGTGCGATGACGTCACACGCTCTCCGCGCGTCATCGCTTATGCAAATCGTGACGTTCCCTTCTCAAAGGGGCGGCGAGTGACACGCCGGCGGCTAGCCCCGCCCCTGTCCTCTTATTGGCCGCCAGTTAACAATTCCAAAACCCGAGAACCAATAATTCCCCTACCCGCCCGTGGAGGAAGATCGTCTTCTCCCGCGCAGATTCCCTGAGCACTTTCATCACAGAGAGTTCGGCCAAAGGGAAGTTGCCGGGGGCCGGCTCTTCATTTTGAGACGCGGCGGATCCGTTCTCTTCCTCTTTCTCCTCACATTTTCTCTTCAGAGCGGGAGACTCGGCCATCTCTGTAGCATTAAAAACTACCGCGCAGGCGCATCTGGATTAGCGCCAAGCGCGCACCAGTGACGTTTCGGCGGCTCCCTCTACCGGCCGGAGGACGCTATTAATTAGGAGCTGTTTGGAGAAACTATCACAAGGACCCTTGCGCATGCGTACATTCGCAAAGCTTAAGACTGAATATAGACACAAGAAAATTAGAGTAGTCGCGCAATAGTTTTGGACTACGACTTCATGGTTCCTTCAACTTCCAGCATAGACCTCTGTACTAGATCAGGGGTCTCTAACTTTGGCAACTTTAAGAGTTGTGGACTTCAACTCCCAGAATTCTAGATGTTGAAGTCCACAACTCTTAAAGTGAGGAATTCTGGGAGTTGAAGTCCACAAGTCTTAAAGTAACCAAGGTTGGAGACCCCTGGTGTAGATGACACCCCAAAACAGAGAAATAATGACAATTAGCATGGTTATGCACTAGCTTCTATACAGAGAGAGTTTCAAAACTGTCCCAAATTCTTTACTCAATATATACACCTACCTTTCTATAAAAAGGGATATTGAATTGGTTCATGGATACATAACAGGCATTTAAAAAGGAGGCCTATAAGAAACTTGGTGTATTTGTCAAAAAGAGACACCTAAATAAAAGGGCGATAGAAAAAAATGAATCGGGCTTCCCTTTGGCAGGGAGTTCCAAAGTTTATTGAAGCAGCAAAGACCCTGTTCATCTTATAATCCTATGCTTTCTACTGGCCATTTGTCCTCTGATACAAAAAACAGAATATATTCCAAAATGCATGGGCCATTGTAAGTCATAACTAGCATGCCAAACATTACAGGTAAACCCAACTACATTCCAAATGCAATTCAGATTTACATCATGGGAAATGCCCCCCGCAATTTAGAATGAAATCTCAGACATTCCTTTTGTTTCAAATTACCCAAACCATTCCTAGAAGGATCATTGGCTAATGTTGTATTTTCAGTGACACTTCAAGGTAATACTAACCTTGGATGACACAGGATTAAATTAAACTCCCACAGTATAAGGACTGAATTTTTAAATCAGAGGTTAGTTCATATTCGCCGAATAAGCTACATAATTAGCATAGTTAGAGCCGAGGTGGCGCAGTGGGTAGAGTGCAGTACTGCAGGCCACTTCAGCTGACTGCTAAGCTGCAGTTCGGCGGTTCAAATCTCACCGGCTCA